TTTTTCCTTCCAGGTCAGGACGATTGTACGATTTGACCATCATTGAGTCGAAAATTGGTCGTTTTTCACTAATTTTCCAACATGCCCAATCATCGAAAAGGGGAGGAACCACGAAAATCGTCTGGTGCCATTGACCCACTAACAGAGCGAAAATCGACAGATTATTTTTTGGATGAAAAATCAGTCGAATTTCAACCCATATATGGCCAGCATTATACATGGATAAAGAAACAATTAAGGACCCATTCAGCCTGACTCGCAGTCCCAACATATAGACAAGACATATAGGCCAGAGAGAGAAAATGGACAGAGGGTCAGCATAACTAAAGGGAGGAACAGATCAGAGAAAGGTTAAAATCTGGGTCATTTAGTGGTGAAGGGGAGTAGTTCTTACCCAATCGAAGGCCTAAGGTTGGACGGGCAGGGCAAAGCCACAAGGGTGGTTCATGTAAGGGATAGTGAGTATTAATTCTGGAAAGTTTTGGCGAAGAGGAAACTTCCCCTCCCGCCCAAAATTCCAGGTGCCTGGTGTCCTTGGGGTTGTAGGATTCAATTTTGTGGGTGCACATTTATAGGCGGATAACTGGACCAAACCTACAGGAAATTAAAATAGGGAACGTTGTCACAGCAGCTTAGCAGGTCATGGGGCCTTTGGGGGTCAGTGTGTAACTATATTGTTACAAACAAATTGGGGGCCCATCTAGGGTATGGCGCTTCCACCTGGTTAGTTATTGGTGGTTATCCCAGTAGTTAGGTCCCCTGGGGGAAAATGTAAGAATGTGTGAGGTCATAGCGTCTTCGAGCCGGTCGGGGTGCGGCTGAGGACATGGGCAGTTACAGTGATAAAGCGTGCCTTAAGGACACCCAAAGAGACCCCTTTCCTGGTTGCATTGTTGTATTTGTATTGTTAAAATTGTCCTATTGATGTTATTTGTTGTGTTTGTTGTCCACAATTAGGCCCCTTTCACAAGGGGCGGACCCATCAGTGGATCCTCTTGCTCAGTGGAAGATCAGTCTGCTGATCCCCGCTTATGCAGAGCGGACACGGATACAGCCCGTTGTCTTCTATGGGCAGTCGGATGGAAATGGACTGCCTGTCCATTTCCATCTGACTGCCATCTGATCCAATGGACGGAAAGGGAACAGATCCCTATCAGTCTCTTTTCGGCGGATCGGATTGGAGTCAGCGACTTGAGGAAGAGGCAAGTCCTCGAAACACGTCAGCCTGTTGGAGGTCCAGAGCTCCCATCATGGACGCACACGTAGTGCAAATTGGACAGAGCTGTTCCTACATGATGTACCTTTGACTGTATTGTCAATTTGTGAGCACAATACGTACTTTTATCATATAACCACTTCCAGATCAGACACTTTTACCCCCTTCCTGACCAGGGCAATTTTCAGCTTTCAGCGCTATCACACTTTGAATGACAATTGCGCGGTCATGCCACACTGTACCCAAATTAATTTTTTACCATTTTTTTGAGACAGATAAAGCTTTATTTTGGTGGTATTTATTCACTGCTGGGATTATTATTTTTTTGCTATGTAAATGATAAATTCCAAAAATTTTGAAAAAAAGTGTTTTTTTTTTAATTTTGCAAATAAATAATATTTCATCATACATCTTGGGCAAAATTTATTCCGTTATCTTGGTGATTCTCTTGGGCTCTCATTCACTACTTTTTCATTGAAAAACACCTGCGTGTACGTTTGGGAAATTGGGAATTCACATAGTGGACTATTTTTTTTGGAACTTATGTTTCTGGAACCTGCTATCATTATTTTATTTGTTCTCATAATGGACTAGCGCAGCACTTTTGAGGAACCAGCCCCATAAAAATGTTGCTTATGGCCAGGTCTTTCCACTGACCAAGGACATATTTTACTGGACTTTTTTAGGAAGAATGTCCTTTTGGTAAAAAGGAAAGAGTTACAAAGATGAGATAATTATGAATTAAATAAATATGAATTAGCCTCACTATGAATTTTCAATATAAAAGTAAAGGATTTGCTCTCCTAACCAAAGGATTTTCAGCAAAGACCTATAACAGCTAGCCTGTAGATTTGAAGGCCATGCTATGTGAGAAGTATCCAACAGTCCAATCACAAGAAAATACACCTAGAGGTAACCACAGATCAAAGAGGATACATACATATATCGTACCAGCATTTGACCACTGAAATTCTTAAAGAAGAGGCAAAAGATCCGGTAACCACTGAAGGACAACCCTAAAGGTTTAGTGGGATCCCTTCTCGGAGCTCCAAGTCTCCATGTCCTTTAATGGGATGAGGTTTCCTGCCAGAAGCTCCTGTGGTCCATTGTATCGCTTTGGATATATCCTGCTTCTCGCAGCATTGCAAACACTTTTGAAACTATATGTAGCATGTATAATACCCAGGTCTTACCCTCCAAAGTTATCACAGACAATACCAAAGAGACCAGTTACTTTACAATACTGATTATATAATATGCTTAATTAGAAATGATACTTTAGAAATAAAAAATATGGGCAGCACAGTGGCTAAATGGTTAGCACTTCTGCCTGGCAGTACTAGGGTCTTTGGTTCGAATCCCAACCAGGGCACCACCTGCCTGGAGTTTGCATGTTCTCCCTGTGCCTGTGTGGGTTTCCGCCGGGTACTCTGGTTTCCTCCCACACTCCAAAGACATGCTGGTAGGTTAATTGGCTCCTATCTAAATTGGCCCTAGTATATGAATGTGAGTTAGGGACCTTAGATTGTACGCCCCTTGAGGGTTAGGGACCTTAGATTGTACGCCCCTTGAGGGTTAGGGACTGATGTGAATGTACAATATATATGTAAAGCGCTGCATAAATTGACGGCGCTATATAAGTACCTGAAATAAATAATTATAGCTGACATTAGTTAATATTCCTGAATGGGAAGTCGAACATGCAAACAGCCACGTTGGACAGTTATTTTATAATCATTTATATTGCACTTGGATAGTTTAGTAGCTTAAAGTGTTACTAAACCCCGGACCCTGCATTCACTATATCTGGTCTTCTACAGTACACAGAACATTGTATATGGTAAAGTGCAGCGCTAAATAAAACAGTCAGAGATATGATCACGGTAGAATCCAAATATAAATAAGTCTGTGAGTATATGGTGAGGTAAATCCAGAAATGAGCAGAAATCAATATGCTGGTGCTCTTAAGGAGTGATAAATTGCGCACTTTCCAGATGCGCATTGGATATACGCATTATTATATCCACCTCGGGGCACTGAGGTATGGTAGGTGTATAAAGATCATCCTTCAAGGAATGGGCAGCACAGTGGTAAATGAGTGAAGTCAGCTAATCCAGAGGTCCCCTTTAGGATGGATAGGGTCAGCCACCTGCTTACAGGAATTCCCTTCCTCTGGATACTGGATCAATTAGGAAATTTCCACTGGCTCTGAAACTTAATGGCTCCATAAAGAAGCCATAAAAAAGGTGCCCATAGTGTAGTATTTCCTTGTAATTTTATTCAATGAAAACTAGTAGTACAGTAGTAAAATGCAGGGTACACTGACCATTCACAAAGATGGCAGCCAACACCAGGTGTTGATCTCCCCTCTGAGGACATGCGTGGCACGAAAGGCCTAAGGAGGAATCAACACCCTGTAGGAGATCTATTTTACTGTTTTTCCATAAAAATTATTTAGCAACTCAAAATGATACTTGGTTCAGTATTCTCTAAAAGGGGCAGTACTGGGAGGTGGGTAGGGGTGGAACCAAGAGATGGTGCTCGGAGGTGGGTAGGGGTGGAACCAAGGGATGGTGCTCGGAGGTGGGAAGGGGTAGAACCAAGAGATGGTGCTTGGAGCTGGGTAGGGGTGGAACCAAGGGATGTTGCTCAGAGATGGGTAGGGGTGGAACCAAGGGATGGTGCTCGGAGGTGGGTAGGGGTGGAACCAAGGGATGGTGCTCGGAAGTGAGTAGGGGTGGAACCAAGGGATGGTGCTCGGAGGTGGGAAGGGGTAGAACCAAGAGATGGTGCTTGGAGGTGGGAAGGGGTGGAACCAAGAGATGGTGCTCAGAGGTGTGTAGGGGTGGAACCAAGGGATGGTGCTCGGAGGTGGGAAGGGGTGGAACCAAGAGATGGTGCTCGGAGGTGGGTAGGGGTGGAACCAAGGGATGGTGCTCGGAAGTGAGTAGGGGGTGTGTAACCAAGGGATGGTGCTCGGAGGTGGGTAGGGGTGGAACCAAGGGATGGTGCTCGGAGGTGGGTAGGGGTGGAACCAGGGATGGTGCTCGGAGGTGGGAAGGGGTTTAACCAAGTGATGGTGCTCAAAGGTGGTTAGGGGTGGAACCAAGGGATGGTGCTTGGAGGTGGGTAGAGGTGGAACCAAGGGATGGTGCTCGGAGGTGGGTAGGGGTGGAACCAAGGGATGTTGCTCAGAGGTGGGGGGGTGGAACCAAGGGATGGTGCTCGGAGGTGGGTAGGGGTGGAACCAAGGGATAGTGCTCGGAGGTGGTAGGGGTGGAACCAAGGGATAGTACTCCGAGGTGGGTGGAGGTGGAGACAAGGGGTGACGTGGAAAGGGTGACTTCCAGCACCTATTCTCTGAGAGAAAAAAAATCCCTGGAGACCAAACACACAATGTAAGCACCTAGGCATTATCTACAGTACAGAGAAGTGAAGTGAGGCTGTGGTTAAGCTGATGCAATAGGATTACTGTGCTAAGTATCTGTGTGAAAAGAGTTATTAATAGCGGTGTAGAAATAGTTACAAACTTTGTCTAGAAAACGCCAAGAGAAAGACAAGATTTTGCAATGTTCAGGAATGAGGAACTTCAAGAAACAGAAAAAAAAAATTATATTTGTCAGATCCGGCTTTCAGGCTGGGTTCACACATATGCGGTGCAAATCACATGCAAATTGTATGCAGTGCGATTGAAGCCATTCATTTTGTATGGCTCAAATCACACCGCAGCCAGACCAAAAAGGTTCAGGACCCTTTTCTTGGTCCGCATTAGAACTGGATCACATGGGTATTCACACCTATGCGATCTGATTCTGCACATCGCACCGCATTTTGCGGACCGATTTTGGGGTGTTGGTAACTTAGCATACACACCCGCAGTGGTTCGCATGAACGGGGTGCGATTCTGATGAGGTGCGGAATTCGTACAGAAAACTCTGCAAATTCCCACCGCATCAGTGTGAACCAGGGCTAAACTATACATACCAGGAGGGAAGTCTCGTGAGCTATAGAAGGGACAAGGACACAAATGGAGTGAAGAGGGAGCTTCCAGCTTTTGATACATAGATATACTTTGTTTTTAGTCCTGGATCACACCAAATGCAAACATTAAAATCGTGCTACTTGACTTGATTTCAAAGCCGCAGACACGTGTGATTTTATATGCGGCTTGCTTGATATCTGTGTGAATTCATGCACAGATGTCAATGCAAGTCACACCTGAAAACGGAATCGGAGTCACACCACTTTGACCGGTTCCATTGCAGACAAAAGGTGGGACTTGTCATGTGTTTTGGAACTGTCAAATCGCATGACAAGTCGCACCACAATGAACCTGGGCTTAATATTACATATTTTAGTAGTTTACAAAATGTACCAAAGTAGATCTAAACCCCAACTTGATGGCATTTATCATTTGCTGATGTGCCGTATATTATTAACAATTGCTGTTTTTTTTTTTCATTATTTTATGTCTTTTAGAAAATACTGTTTTCCCCTTTTTTCATCCTATTTTTAGATCTTGGTCTTGCTGATCCCTTCCAGCTTCTTTATCACCACTTCCTTTCTATATACATGCTGTTCAGCATTAGCCGCCCATCACAGGATCTGAGCAGAACATTTATTTATTTATTTATTTATTTCAAGTACTTATATAGCGCTGTTAATTTAAGCAGCACTTTACATGTATGTTGTACATTCACATCAGTCCCTAACAGGGGCGGACTGACCATTTGGAAACTTGGGCACTGCCCGAGGGCCCGGGGTCAGTAGGGGGCCCCATGAGATGCCCTTGGTACCTTTTTAATAGGCTTTTTTGAGTTTGGGCAAGGACACAGGGGCCCCATGATCCCCTATTGCTCAGGGGCCCCATGAGTTGTCAGTCCACCCCTGGTCCCGAACCCTCATGGGGCGTACAAACTAAGGCCCCTAACACAGAACATGCCCATGCAAGATGCACTGGCATGGCTACTTTTAGGGGTGATTTACTAAGCGCCAGTTCACGCTACATGCATTTCAGTTGTTTTTTTGTCTACATCCAAAACGCACAGAGAGTAGGTTATATGGTTGTCAATGTCATAGATCACATCAGTGCTTGCAGTCCAGAGCGTTCCAGTTGCAGAAAAGAAGTAGAACGTGCTGCATATTTTCTGCACAGAACTGTACTGGAACGCAGTAAAACGCATCAAAAATGCACCAGAACGCACTGGAATGCACCAAAACACACCAAAAACCTCACTGGAATGCACATGTAACTAATTAAATTGAAGAAAAAGAGAGGGGAAAAAAATGAACTGGAATGCATAAAAAATGCACTGGAACGCGTCAAAAAAAAGCATAAAAAATGCACCAGAACTCGCCAAAAACGTGTCAAAAACACGCATGCAAAAATGCATCCAGAACACATCTGGAATGCACCAAAACACACCAAAAACCTCACTGGAATGCACAAGTAACTAATTAAATTGAAGAAAAAGAGAGGGGAAAAAATGAACTGGAATGCATAAAAAAAGCACTGGAACGCGTCAAAAAAGCATCAAAAACGCACTGGAACTTACCAAAAAACGTGTCAAAAACATGCATGCAGAAATGCATCCAGAACGCACCTGGGCTGGGTTTCTGTAGTGTGAACTGGCCCTAAAGGCAAATAGATGAGTACTTTGCAAAGTGCAGTTGCACTCTGCAGTTGCTCCAGAGCTTAGGAAATGAGCTCAGCTGACTACCGTTATCCAAGCAGCTGCACTTGCAGAGTACACAGTCTATTTGCCTTTACTAAATCAACCCCACAGTGTTCATTAGTAGCACATGTATCAGGGTGACAACACAGGAGAGCAATTTGGGAGACAAGGACAAAGCGTTGTCACCCATAACAGGAAGTGTCTGAACAAGAATCACCAAGGGTCACAAGGTATTATGTTAATGAAAACTCCAGGTTTCAAAGGACTTAAAATGGCTTTGGTTACATTCACACTTCTGCCATTTCCATCTGGGGCAATGGCAATGCAGCATGCTTTTGACACATTTAAAAGTGCATTCACTATATCTGGTCTCCCCGGACCCTGCATTCCCTATATCTGGTCTCCCCGGACCCTGCATTCACTATATCTGGTCTCCTCAGACCCAGCATTCACTATATCTGGTCTCCCCGGACCCTGCATTCACTATATCTGGTCTCCCCGGACCCTGCATTCACTATATCTGGTCTCCCCAGACCCTGAATTCACTATATCTGGTCTCCCCGGACCCTGCATTCACTATATCTGGTCTCCCCGGACCCTGCATTCACTATATCTGGTCTCCCCGGACCCTGCATTTACTATTTCTGGTCTCCCCAGACCCTGCATTCACTATATCAGGTCTCCCACAGTACACAGAACATGGAAGTGCAATTATTTTAGTAAATATAAACTGCTAAATAGCTTTTTTCTCATCAGCAGTTAGAGCATCTTGGGTCTTGGGACTTCTATCAGTGTTCAGTAGAGCACTGGTCAAAGCTTGTAGGAGGAGTTTTCTTTCTGTTCTAGAAGGATGCAGAACCCCTGAACTCTGTCTGGACAGTGTTGATTGGCCCTGTGCTGATCACATGCACTCTCCCAAGAAAAAAAAAACCTCTCTAGCAATACACACTAAACTAAGCATGTGCAGAATGGCTACAGTTCAGTCTCTCTTATCAGGAGATAAGACGTAGACTTTTGAACAAGTGGAGGAGCAGAGAAGTCAGGATCAAAAGGCCTTTTTACACAATGCAGAGGATTAACCGATTAGGTTCCACAGTGAGTACAACAAGCATGCTTTACTGCATCTACAGACTGATTTTAATGTTGTGGATTTAGTAACACTTTAAATAACAACTGAAACACATATAAGGAAATCATTTCACCTGACAAATAATTTGTAATTCAGCCCTTTTTGCGATAAAGGTACCCTGCCAAACAGCTTAGCCAGGTCCTGACTTCAACTGCAGATTTGACACACCCCCAACCTGCATATTAGACAATGAAGGAGCTGCAGGGTCATCATGCTTCTCTACTCCCATACTAGCAGGTAAATGGATAGTTAGAAAGCATTGGAATGGTTTTATCTGGGAAAGAGTTTACAGTTCTGTGCAGATTTTATTTCGTTCATCAGACACCCAGAAAGCACAGCAGCCACTGTGACAGCAGCACAGCTTAGTCAAGACCTCACATCCAGCCTGCTGATTGGACAATGAAGAAGGCGCAACACACACAGGCGGAGTCATCACTCTGCACTCTCCTCCTGTCAGCATGTTCCAAGCACATGCGCATGTAGCACAGTCAAATTGGCTCCTACAGCTGCTCTTCCCTCTCCCAGTGTGCTGTGCAGGGAATTACAGCCAACTGATATCAAGACAAATTCAGGTAATTATACTAGTCGCATTCAGTAATACATGATATTATTTTAATGAATTTACAAATTGATTAATTGCTTTGTATAAGTGTGTGGAGTTCAGCACAGACTAGACCTTAGCCTTGCTAATGTCAACCAAGAAATACAGAGAGGAGGGAAAGCGCATGCAGCTGGTATCAATTTATATACGTGGATATTATATAACACTCTAATTTATGGATAATGAAAGCTAAATATAGCTCATCCATCTCACAGTTCAGAAGTGAATGTGTTCTTTAAAGAAACTTCAATTTAACAAATGTTCCTGGTACATGAGTGCATTTGGGGCAACTGCAATTTTCCAGTAACTGTTTCTATTCAAGTTTTACTTTCATATTATATATTGTAGGCGTTAACATGCTAATGCATGTTCCACGTAGCTATTTCCTGTACTCAATAAAACCAGTTATGATGTGATAAATTGTTTACTTAAAAGTACTTCCCGTAAATAGTGGTTGGACCTGCATATATGACCCATTGCCTTATATCCTACAGATTAACAAGCAGACTTTTATTCCATGAGCTTGGACATCTGTATGTTCCGCAAACAAGACTGCCCCTATTGTGGGCTCCATTTGTAGACAGGTTCCCCTTTAAGGTGCCTCCTTCCCTGGGAGAAGGCTGGGAGACTAGGCAGAACCTAGGAGGGAGGTGGGTCAGACTGCAGAGGAAGTGGAAGGAGGAAACATTTGTCTGCTGAGCTCCTCCCCCCTTAGGGTGCCCTAGGGTCCCCCATCCTAGGTCCAGGAACACAGTAGAGGATCTTGGAAGTTGGTTTAACCCTCTGTCCCTCCTATCCTTAGCCAGGAAGAACATTAGGCCGAATCATCTGCATTAGCAGCCACCGGTAGGGGCAGAGACCATAGGTCAATTTGTTATTGGAACTGTGTTGATCTACTGAAGCTATGTATCGATTGAGGTTTTCAGTAAAGAACATTAGCCACATCCAGCCTCGTGGTGGACTCTCTGAAGAGTGTGAGTTCTATTTGTGTTCCCTGGCTATAGGGCCTAGAGAAGGTGTCCAGTGTATGGAACCCGTGGAAGCGAAGGGAAGGAAGCAAACAGCGAAGAGGGTGGATCGGGGGTTGGTCTCTGCTCACCACCAGAATTGCAGGGTAAGTTCTAAGCATACACTGGGCTAAGGCCTCTTTTTTTCTTCCCCCCAAGTGACTGCCCGAAGTGTGTCACCTTCACCTCCATAACATTCCCAATATATACCCCTTACCCAATGAAACCATCAAGCTATTAATTCACCACCTTGTTATCTCTTGCCCCAACAAGTGCAACTCCCTCTTCATTGGCCTACCCCTACACAGGCTGTCCGTCCTTCAGTCCATCATGAACACTTCTGCCATACTCATCCTTACCTACCGCTCAGTCTCCGCCACCTCACCATACATATCCCTCTACTGACTTCCGACTGTCCAACGAAAAAAAAAAAGAAAAATATTAACAACATACAAAGCCATTCAGAATTCTGCCTCAAGCTACATCACCAACCTTGTCTCAAAATATCACCCAAACCATCATCTCTGCTCCTTCCAAGCCTCCTACTCTCTATCTTT